GATAGATAGATAGATAGATAGATAGATAGATAGATAGATAGATAGATAGATAGATAGATAGATGGATGGATGGACGGACGGACAGATGGACGGATGGAAGGGATGGATGGATGGAAGGGATGGACGGATGGATGGACAGACAGATAGACAGACAGATAGGTGGGTGCGTGGATGATATGGGAATGAATGGATGGATGATAGACAGACAGAACTTAGCACTAGCACTTAGACTTATATACCGCTTCAGAGTGCTTTTACAGCCCTCTCTAAGTGGTTTACAGAGTCAGCCTGTTTCCTCCAACAATCTGGGTCCTCATTTTACCCACCTCGGAAGGATGGAAGGCTGAGTCAACCTTGAGCTAGTCAGGATCAAACTCCTGGCAGTGGGCAGAATTAAGACTGCAACACTGCGTCCTAACTACTGCCTCACCATGACAGAGAGAGAACTAAGACTTCTAAGGTGGTAAAACGGGGCGGAATTCACTTAAGAAATCTCTCGCTTAATAACAGAAATTTTGGGCTCTAATGTGGTCATAAGTTTATGTATTGATGAAACTTATGTATCGATGAAAGAAGGGATTGTTGAACATTTGTCACAGAACAAGGCAGTAGAGATCTCTCGCGACCTGTTTGGTTGTTTTTAAATGATGTCTCTTTATTGAAAGTTATCTCAACGTGGTTGCATTGCCTTGTCTGTTTAGGTGACAACGATCCAGTTTCTCTGATGAGCAGCGTAGACAGTAAGTAATCCAAAGCTTCCATGATGGGGTTGTCCAGGAGCGGTGGTGAATGATGACCCAAATGATGACATTATCTCATGGATGGATGTCCATGGAGGTTCTCTGTCATCCAGGTCATGGTTGTCCCAAAGGGGCTTTTTCAAGAGGCGACTGGACTTTTTTTTTTTGGTTTTTCCTTGAAGATGAAAACAAGCTTCTTCAGCCCTGACTGGATGGTGGAGAATGGGAGTCCACGTTCTGGACAGAGAGGACCACCCCTGCTTTGAAAGAGGAGTCAAAGAGGCCATCTACATTAAGAGTGAATAGCCCTCTCTCAACAGAGAGGGTGAGATATGACACTGCACATCTCCCTTTACAAAACAGTCCTTTCAGCAGTCCCAAGGAGGTTCCATCCATCCATCCATCCTTGTCTGTCTGTCTGTGTCTGTCTGTCTGTCCATCTAACTTTTTTCTCTCTCTCTCTTTCCACCTACCTGCCATTCTCTTTCTTTAATTCTCTCTCTTGATTGTATCTATCATCTATCTATCTATCTATCTATCTATCTATCTGTCTGTCTGTCTGTCTGTCTGTCTGTCTGTCTGTCCGTCCGTCCATCCATCCATCCATCCATCATCTATCTATCTATCTATCTATCTATCTATCTATCTATCTATCTATCTATCTATCTATCTCTCTCTCTCTCTCTCTCTCT